AGGCGGCGGGAAGGAGCAGGCAGGCGGGTGATGCGTGCGAAGCGGTCAGGAAGGTGTGACTGAGCGAGTATCGTCGCCTCAGTGTTTAAGAGGGCCCTTCAGCGGACAGAAATAGCCGGTGTCGGGGAACTGAGGTGTCCGAACGGTGCCGCAGGGACCTGCAAGGACACTCCCGTCCCGAGGAAGCGGTGCTGCTAGGCGTATCGCAACGAGAACTTACAATACTCGCAATTTTGGGAGAATCGTGAGAGAAAGAGTGCTAAAAAGTTGTGATATGATTATTTTGCAGTTGAGTTTCATTTAGTTCTTTTTCTGGTACATGATGTCGGTAGGCTGCAATCGGACTTCATGTTTAGTCCAAAAAGTGCACAGACTGTGTCCTCTCTTTGCTGACACCTCTGGTCTCCACAGGCCACAGACACATCCCTTTGCTGTGCTCTAAGCTTAAGACACAGCTTGCATTTGCTGTTCACCCACAGAACAGCTAACGGTGATCCACCTCATGACTGGAAGTTAAAAGCAAGCTGCACACTCCCATTCCATGGACCGGCAGATGATCCATCAACTTTAACTCTTCAACTAAAATGTGTTGACAAATGTTGCCTGTTGCTGATGTTTAGGGCTAAAACTTTGCCGAAGTCCTAAATCTGTCCAATAACAGGTGTCTTAAAGCCCTAGGAGTTTCTAGGCAACAGAGCATGCACACTGTATGGAAGGCAGAAAATCCTCAGTGGTATTGTGTTCTGCGCTTGCTAAAAAGTACTACTTCAGGCTATAGTCAATTACTTGTAATTATTAGTACCTTAGTTCTACCATAATATGGACTTTATCTTCTAGACCGTGTTCAGCAACTGTAAATTCTGAAAATGTTTTAGATACTGAGCATAATAATCGAACACACAATTTTCCTTATGTGTTTGAAGAATTTTATTCCAGTCCTGGATCCGGAATTTAAGGATCCTGAATTAGCAAAGTAAGCCACTTTAATAACAGTAGATTGATGATTTTTTGTTTTCTGAAAAAATGTAGATGTACATCTGCCCTACATTTTTGACCTAGTAAATGCTTATCTTCCAAGAGCTTAGTCTCTTAACAAGACCTAGAGTCAGACATGTTTTAGTTGGTGAAAAAATGAATAAAGTTTGTCTTTTGAATACATATTTTGATTGAGTTTTGCCACTGTGTGATGCATTTTACCTATCCAAGCTGACTGACTAATTTCCTCTTCAAACCTTGTAGTGTAATTTCCTGTGTCGCCTGGAACACCAGCGTGCAGACCTCCATTCCTGCCTGAGCTTGTGTTCCAGAGACATTTCCGCAATCACTGCTTTAACTGGGAAGTACAATTACGTTCCGTTTCGTTGCTGCCTGCTTATAGTGTTGCCTTCTTTTACGGTTCACAAAAAGATTTTGCTTCCTACTGACATAGCAGTTATATTCAAACACGCTGCTTAGCTCTGTGACTCTGTGTATCTCCAGTACTACCGTTGGCAGCATTCCTCATTTGCATCTTCAGATACTGCCTAAGGGCTGCCTCTTACTCTGGGCATTTATCTGTTTCAGTGAGTCCCTAGGTTTGTTCATAGATGACCTGAGTCAAGATGTAGGAAATGTAAAGATCTTTTAAAAGTAATTACCCTGTTGATTACCTAGTGATATCTTATGGGCTCTAATCATTTAGATAGTGATCTGACATTGCTGATAAGTGCTTGGAAGTGTTTTGTTGCCTTTGCTGAATGGGGTTGTCTGGAGCAGAGGTTTTGTGGATCCTCTGAACTGAACGCTTACTTATACATGATGATAAAACAGATGATAAAAACTAGATTCCATGTAGTAATTAACGAAATAAATATTTTCCAGGAGCTCAAGTGCTATGATAGGGGACTTTTAAATTAGAAATCTATTTTAATTATTCCAAATTAAAGTATAAGATAGTATTAACATTTTGTTTGCAGGAAAACCAAGTAGTTTACTAATAAATTTGTAACAACATTGAGAAGTTTCTAAAGTACACTGAGTGATCTATACACAGTTACAGATTGTTGTTGCTTTTTCCTGGAAGTGTTTGTATTCTTAAAAACTGCCAAGCTCCACTAATGCAGCTTTATGGGCCCCTATTTATAAATGCATGCCTATTTGTCAAGAAGAGAGGTGGAATTCACAAGGATTTTATAAAGAGAGCATTGTGCTGACAAAAATTTGAGTTACATATTTTCATATTCTGAAAAATATCCTTCCTGACACCTAGAGGCGATCTGCAAAAACACTAAAAAACTCACAAATCCAACTCGTCAAAAAAAGGGAAAGCAAATTGAACAAGCCAGGGACTTTTCCAACAAAGAAAATCTTGTGCAACATTTGGATTGGCATTACACTATAAAATACTCAAAAATTACAGCAGAGTGCAACCACTCTTGTAAAACTTTCTATATGCATTGCCTCTGTGTCTGTAGGAAATGAACACGAGAGAAGCTATGTTTGTATACACCACCTGCCATGAAGTATTTTCTATGTTAATTCAATGAGGAGACATTTTAAAAGTCATTTATTTGTTCTAGATCATGGGGTGCACTACGCAGACCACATAAAAGTTGTTTAAGTGTACTGGGGTAAAAAAATGAGAGACCTTAGAAATCGATGTGAGCCCAGGAAGCTGGCATTTATAGACCTATGCAGAACACTGATGTTCTTTGAAAGTAAGTTTTTGGACAACTTTGTTCCACTGTAGTTTGGACTCGAGAGCTGAGAGAACTATCCTAAATCCAGGGCTTCAAAACAGCTTTTATTTTCATTAACGCACTCTCTAGTGAATGTGAATGAGTTTGTATGAATAACTGAAAATAATGGTTGTAAGGTGCATTTAAGGGAAGTCCTTCCGAGCGCAGCTTTTTACTGTTCAATTAAATTCTCCTGCTGCTGTTACGGGCCGCTTTGCCGGACGGCGCCGGAGGCGGTTTAATAGGCTTTCTGAGTAACTAGGTGCGACTTTTAAACTTTGTCCGCAGAATGAGTATCATCAGCTGGCAGCTGATCCCACGCACCCAGGCGATTTCTGGAGCGGTTTCAACGATTACACGGGGACGCGGCCGAGCTCCCCGCGCCGCTCACCCCGGCGCAGGGCCC